CCTTCTTTCTATAGTTTTTCTTATTCACCATTCTTTCTTATTTTCTTTGCTTCTTTGCTAATATCTATATTGTTTTTATCTTTTTAAAGATTTCTTCACTAAAATTATATTTTTTTAAAAACAACTCCCTCTTTTTCTCATACCACACCACTGTTTTCTTTGCTTTAGCATGACCCCAGGGGAAAAAATATGTTTGGCTGATTTAGACAAGTTACTTTTGTACCACAAAGCTGACCAGCCATAGTCCATGTGTTCTGCTACTATTGAACGTGTTCTCTCATGGGTCTTTTCCAGGCTCTTGATGCTGAGAAGCCAACCGGAATCCATGTTTTTGCTGTTCTTCTCCATGCACATCTTGCTGGCAGAGCATTAAGGATGCGCCATTTCCGCAAAGGCAGTGAACTACAACTGCTGGCTTATGATGATGAATTTGACTTTAACTTCCAGGAGTTTCAGTACTTGAAAGAAGAAAGGACCATCTTGCCTGTATGATGTTTGTTTCCTGTTTTTCCTAGTGTTATTGTCATTTTTCTGTTTCTTCAGGCCAATTGTCACTATTTTAGGTTGTTTTGGGGTTCAAAGTTTCAAATACCCATATTCATTCTTGTGTGACATACATATTTACACTTTCTGAGGGAAAAAGAAATGAAGAAGCATCAGAACTAAAGGACAAGTAGACAAAGAATGAAACACTTCTTTAATCTATTATGAATATGATCTAGCAGGAAATTAAAAGTTCATACACTTATATGTACTTCGTTTCCCCCTCCAACATTTTTATTTGATTTTCATTTAAAGGATATATTTCTCTTTGGTATTTTCTGTTTTTGTTACTGCTAACCAGTCGTGGGATTCAATTTTTTTTTACTACTGGTTCTGTGGGCATGGCGTGGTGGGCCTGACATGGCTTGGTTTGTGTGGCAGGGGAAGGATACTATAAAATCTCCATTCCCTCCCCATTTCAGGGGAAGATTACTGCAAAATCCCCATTTCCTCCCAATCAGCTGGGACTCAGGAGGCAGAGAATAGCTAGGGGTGGGGCTAGTCAGAGGTGGTATTTACCAGTTCTCCAAACTACTCAAAATTTCCGCTACTGGTTCTCCAGAACTGGTCAGAACCTGCTGAATACCACCTCTGCTGCTAACAGTTTTTATTTGCTTGCTAAATAAAATGTGAACTAGAGACAGGAATCTCTTCTCCACATCAATCTGTCATCCCTAGTCAGTTATACCCTGCCTGGTCATCTATAAGCCTCTCAAGATGTCCAGGGCTGAGAAGAAGGCTGTGTACTTGCAAAGCAGAAAATGTATCACCTGCAACAATGCTATTGATATGAGTTAAGAACATTAATTATTGCTTCAAAAACCTTTAAACCCAACAGATTATTCAGAAACAGGATTTTTTNTTGCCATTTTTTTTAAAATTAAAAACCTGTTGTTTGATCTATCTTAACTCTAATTCCTCTTTCTCTGTGTTATAGCAATGGGCCAAATTGGCAACTAGGTTCCAAAACTAAATTCAATCAATAGGGTATTTTATGCTGAGTTATAACAGGCAATTGCTCTTTTCTTTCCAGGGATGATCGATAATTCTGGACTAAGGCTATTTTATACTGCAAATTTAAGGAGATACGATGCTGGAGTTATTGAAGCAGGGCTTTGGGTCAGCCTGTTCCATAACGTCCCACCGGGCATGCCTGAATTCGTGTCGGAGGGCCACTGCACACTGGAGTGTCTAGAAGAAGTATGTTTTTTTACTAATGCAAATGTGCCTTTTATTGAAAATAGGCAGTTTCAGTGTCTTTGTAAAAAAAATGGTGTGTATTATTTCAGTGGTCCTGGATCAACAATTGGAATTTGTTCAGAAAGGGATCTGGAACAACGATGGTGCCATCAATTGAAAATACAAATCTGGTTTGAAAAATAGCAAATAAGAACAGGCAAATTATGTGTGAGCATGCCATTTATTTTCTTTGGTTTGTCAGTAAAGATGGATAAATGCTCACAAATATATTAGATTCAATTTCTGCATTAGTCTTCTTGTTTGAAAAAAAAGCACTCTCAAAATTTGTTCTTTCATATACCTTTTCCTATGCATATATTTTTGCTCAGAAGTTCCCTCAATATTTACCTATGAGCATCCATTGTTAATGTATGAACCAGAGGCAATTAATTCCATTGAGGAAAAATTAGATCTGCTTATTCAAACAGTGATAAAATTATTCCCCTTATTTTATTGTCACTGAACCATTATAAATAGCTTCAAAAATCTTTTTTAAGCCTAACACAAATGGTGATTAACATTTTTTTTATATTTGTAAGATGCAGTAAGCATTGTTATGATATTTTCATTGTTTAAATCAAAGCGTGTACTTATTGTGTACTTAGCTAAGCTTTCTTTAGCTTAAGAAAGGAGAAGGTTCTCTGCTGAATGTCTCTAAAGGGAGCATAATACATATTAATAACCCAGGAACAAGTGTGAGTGTGTGACTGTGTTCTTTTGTTTAAAAGTGCTTGCTAGTTCATTTTGTGTTGGTGGGGGAGGTTCCATCTAAGAAATTTGAAAACAATGAGTGGACAATATCATTTTTTAAAAAATGAAAACCAAAGGGACTCATTTCTCATGTGGTTAGAGATGATAGGATTTAGAGTCCAATACCATCTTACTCACATCTGTTTTAAATGAAGAGCAGGTGGGAGAAAATGAAACATCATAGACTATGGAATTGATTTATCAGATAGACCTAATAAGCGGGTGAAAGACATGGTTTCTTTATTTCCTCTAACCCTAAAATCTAATATTTTGTGGTATTTGTACAGTAGAGGATGCTTTATGAAAGCCAAAGAGAATTAAAATGATTGTGCCTGATGCTACATGATAGCAGAATGCTTCAAATGCCATGTGAATATTTCTCAATAAATCTACACATACCTTCTTCTCTAGTTAAGATATACAATTTTATAGCACTTGAAAAATATTTGTTTCATATTTGAAATTGCCATACATTTGTTCTTGTGTAAAATTTAGTAGATAGAACTGAATCACATCTACTCATTCAATAAATACTTTAACATTCTATCTGTAAATATGAAGAGCCAAGTGAAGACCTTGTAAATATATAGACTAAACTTTGTGGATTTTTGTTTTGCTGAAATTGTGACTTACAGGTTTGAGGATTAGAAAGAGTAGCTTATAGAAAGAAGGAAATTGTATGTAACCTTGGGAACAGGGTAAAATATAAATGCACTTATAACCACTGCCAAAAAGGTCAGAGGTTGTTTCTTCATAATCTTTTCTCCTTCCTTCCTTCCTTCCTTCCTTCCTTCCTTCCTTCCTTCCTTCCTTCCTT